TGAGTACACATCTCTTTACTATTCTGTGCAACAAAATGGGAAGCGCACACAAAAGTACTTCTGCTGCACACCAAGGCACGACGGTGGCCTCAGGAAAAGCTCTCGTGCAACCGAGCTTTGAACTAAATTAGCCACTTTTTCAGGGAATGCTATTTTTACTTGAAAGAACGACTGACAGACAAAACTCGGGTTATTCAGACTTGGATATCTGGCAGGCATGTTCTCAAAAATAAACAAAGCGAGCCTGTCGCTTCAAGAAAAACAGCTAACGGGATTTGTTGCCAATGGTAAAATTCAAGCTTTGCACTGAAATTAGAATTAGACTTTTGGAAAACTTGTACCTTCTCCTATGCGTCTGACAGCTTCTCAAGGTTCAAAGACTTGTCTGGTGAGATCAGAGAGGATATTAACAAACGTGACTTCCTGGTATTATATAAGGAAATGTGCCAACATTTGGAAGATCTGTACAGCTCAGAGAACCAATATTTTCCAAGGGATCAATGCATGATGTTAGAAAATCATGAAAAGGTTTAGAAGATCCATGCAAAGCCAGGATATGTCAACGGAATTTAAGTAGCAATACGAAAAGTTCACTGATGAAGCTTCAGATTCTAGACTCCAACTAACCTTTAAGAAACTACCCCTTGTCCAGTCTTAGTGTGTTAGCAAAAAACGATATCCATAATTATCTCAAAAAGCTTTTCTGGTATTCCTTTTTTCATCCGTATCTGTGTAAGGCAGGATTTTTCTGCATATACTTCAACCAAAACATATCGTGACAGGGTCAATACAGAAGTACATATGAGAATCTATCAATTTTCTATTAAGCCAGGCATTCAAGGGATTTGCAAAAATGTAAACCAACGCTATACTTCTTACAAATTTTTTGTTTTAGAAAATATACTTTTCGTAAAAATGTTATTTAGGTTAACACATAACAGGTTTATTATTGCTATTTTACGGGAATTCGTATTTTCAAATTTTCCTCAGTTTTAATTTCTATCTATTGATAAATATAACTTGCATAAACAAAATCTCTTTGGTGTCCTCGATAATTTTGAAAAGTATAAAGGGGTCATGAGATAAATAATTTGAGTACCATGGGGGTAGTAGATACATCACGACATACAGGTACAATGGAATACTGAGCAATCACTAACAACAAGGATAGACTCAGTAGCTGATATAAAACTAGATTAATATCTATACAGCACTTACTGTGAGCTAGACACCATTCTAAGCTTTTTTACATATTTTATTTTATTTTTGTCGCGACAGGGTCTCATTCTGCCACCCAGGCTGGGGGTGCGGTGCTGCAATCATAGCTTCCAGTAGCCTCCAAGTCCCGGGCTCAAGGGATCCTCCCGCCTCAGCCTCAGCCCGAGCTTTTTTACATATAATAACTCATTTAATCTTCACAATACTATGGAATGAGAACTACTATTATTCCCACTTTACAGATAGGGAAACTAAGGCACTGAGGGGCAGTGATGAGCCTGAACTCAGAATCCATGCTCTTAGCCACTCCCTTATACTGCCTAAAGATACTAAAATGTTAACAGTCTATGTATGGAGCCAAGTGCAGTGGCTCATTCCTATAATCCCAGCAACTGGAAAGGCTGAGGCAGGAGAATTGCTTGACGCCAGGAGTTCAAGACCTGCCTGGGCAAAAAAGCAAAACC